TGATGTTCACCAGTTGGAAAAGTTACAAAACTATTTCCAAAGAGTTTGACTCTACCAGTTCACTATCAGGTAGACTGATAATGGATGGTATTCGATACAATTGTCAATCCCCACAACCCCCTCGATGAGTAGTCAATTAACTAAGATGATCCTAAGATGAGTATTCCTTTTGACTCTTTGTTTAATTAGGTTTTCTTTACTTTTAGGACCTGTGAAGAGAATAGATCATGTTTCAGGTCATATTTCTATAGAAATATTGAAAATTCCAAAAGGTGCACAAGCATTACTGTAGAGTCAAGAATAAACAGGTGTTAAGTGGATATTGATTGAATATACTAGAAATGAGAGTGATCAGTATACAGAAAAATACAGTGAGATAAATGCAAATAAAGATTCAATTGCCAAACAAATAAATGAGTGTGAAATTTGATAAGATCCTCAAAAGAAAGAGGAAAGAACTTCAAAAAGCAAAATGTGATATATAAACTAGTGTATGAACATGATGGAATAAATGTGGCTTGCAAGGATGGATAATAAAGATGAGGTGTAAAGTTTGGTATAAATGAGATATTTATTTTTCTTGCCTCATGCTTTAATTTCCTTGGCTTACTGTCTCTTATTCTCTTCTGCACTTAACATAAAGTTACTTACCCCAAAAAGGAGTAATAAAATGAATGTATGTGTCTATAGTGCAGCAGTGGTCTCCAACCTTTCTGGCTTGGCAGACTAGCCGAGGAGGCTGCAGTGACCCGGAGCCCGGGGGGGGGGGGGGGGAGGAATGGATGTATGTGCACACAGCTTTCACAAAGCAGCTTTCTGCACCTGTGTGAACACTCACCCATCACTTCTATGGTACTCAACGTGCTGCGGCCTTGCACTGGGCTACGAGCTGGAGGTTAGGGACCTCTGCAGTACAGTACTGATGAAATTGGTTAGGGAGGGATGAGAATGAATCTGTGCAGGAATAAATCTGCCATTTCCCCATTTCCATTTTTTAAACAAAAATAATAATTCAGTTTGAATAACATATTGGTTTAAAAAATCCAAGTTTAATGCAGCAATGGCCAAGAACCAAAATGAAAACAAAGCCATCTATTTATGACAAAAGTTACTATTTCTGCACAACCAATAAGAGAACTGGAAAAAGTCTCCTGCCAATAAATTTAAATATCTTTTAACATTCTGCACTGAGTACTCTTCTCATAGAAATAAAAAGTCCAACGTATTCATTTCTCTACTCCAGATATTCATTGTTACAGTATCTGGTTTATAAATTTAAATCTGAGTAAAAATATATGTTAGATGTAAATTTCTTGTTTTATATTTAATGGTATAGTGAATGACATTCATGAATGACTTAAAAGTTACATACTGTCTAAGCCTAACAAACCTATTGGGGAGGTGGGGCATATTGTATAATTGTTTTCTCGCTCTTTATCATTCTTATTCTTAATTTGTTGTTTGTTATTATTCATACACTGTACTTTACTGTTTGTTATACTGTGAGAGCCCAGAGAGTCTGGAGTCAGATGTTGCCTAAATTGAATAAATTAAATTAAGTTGTGCCTAGGAGTTAGGAGAAAGAGACAATAAAGGGATACGATAATTCCAACATGAGGAAAGAGTCCAAACAACATGCAAGAGTCATGCAAGAGGTACCAGCAGACACGGATGAAAACCAGGGAGTACTCGGGTGATAACAGAGACCTGGTAAAGTTGGAGACAGACCTGTTATACAGACAGCTTACCCTCAGCTTTACTGGTAGTACCATCTTTAAGCAAATTAAAAGAATAAGGAGAGTGATAAGAGGGAATTCGTTAGTAATATCAGCAGAAGTGGGCAGGGTGTCTTTAGTATCACAAATGAGGGGAAAATCACATCAGTCAAACAAAGTAAAATAAATTAGTTAATAAAGTAGAACCACAGAAAGATTTCCTTTGCCTATTTTCTTGTTTTCACACAACATACATTATGATGCATTTCTTCCAGAATTATATATGCTACTTAGCAGAACCTGCAAACTATAAATATGTATTCATTCTTCTACTAATTTAGCAAATATCTCTTCACCACAGACCAAATCATAATAGCAGCTCCAATTGACTAAAAATGACCATATAATGCACTGTTAATATAAGCAGCTAACATAATCACACCTTTTACTGTATTAATGCTGCTGCACAGAGTATTTAATGCTCAAGTATGAGTAGGTCTGAACAAGAAACAAATAAGTTAAATTAGTTCTGCTTTTAGTTTGTTTGTGAATTTTTTTACATGTATTTTGTTATCATGAATACAAATTTATGGAAACACTGGAGGAGCTGCTTAAGAAAATGAGGTGTCGAAGTTTCCAATGCTATTGTAATATCAGAATAAAATATCACCCAGAGATCTTATATACCTGAACACTATGAAACAAAACTAGTCATTAGAGATATCTACAGGACAGAAGGTTTTCATCAAAACGACAAAAGCAGCTTCATGTTATAAGCTCTTCCCTTTTCATGTGTGCATGCAAGATGACAACGCAAGTGAAGAAAAATAGCACTTGCAACATGACAGTGTTTTTGTTACCTGTCCTCCCTTTTCCCCATGGATGCTTCTGCCAATCAGTCACAATTTTAAGCTTTAGGGGACTATCATCTATTTTCTGTGATATCAAGGATCTATCTAAATATTTAAAAAGTATTCTAGTTATCACAAGATGGTGTAAGTAATTTCATAATATCAAATAGGCAAAAGACAAAGAAAATGAGCACAGTCAAGACCCAGTTTGGATTCCCAGATCAGAAAATTATGAACTGTGGACCACTTCTATCAAACCTTTTGTGAAATTAGAGTATTTCACTGAAAAATCCTGACTTGCTTATATTTTTCTATTAATTAAAAAGTTTCTTATACATTTTATTAGTAGAAGCTCTCCCTTAGGAAAGTAAATTTTTGTGAATTTTATCTGAATATCTCCGTAACCATATCTGTTCGGTTTCAGGTAGACAGTTAGGAATAGCAATAGCAATAGCAATAGCACTTAGACTTTACAGCCCTAAGCAGTTTATAGTCAGCATATTTCCCCCAACAATCTGGGTCCTCATTTTACCGATCTCGGAAGGATGGAAGGCTGAGTCAACTTTCAGCCGGTGACAATCAAACTGCTGAACTGCAGTCAACCAGCAGTCAGCAGAAATAGCCTGCAGTATTGCATTCTAACACTGCGCCACGATGGCTCATAATAACTCCAAGGATAGACAATTGGCTCTTGTAGAAGGTGGTTCTTCTGTCCAGGTGACACTAAAATCAAAATGCTAAGTAGAGAAACAAAATCTGTAGATGAGCTACTGGTGTTACTAATCTCATGTGGTGCTTGAATTAACTAAAATAGAAAGATCTAATACTAAGAGGGATGTTATCATAGCAGAACTTCAGTTTCTTTTCTAATCAGGTGATGAAAGTAAGCTTCTTCTAGAAATGCAAAGACTATCAAATACTGCATATTATCAACAAAACTGACCTTAATATTTCTCTTTTGAAGCATCTCTCTCCTAGGTACTCTGTGAACAACCTCAGATCTAGTTTAACCCTTACGCCTCCACTTACTTTGGAAAATAAATTCCAGATTTGTGGAATTTTACACTTGTTCTGTTGCACTGATTTACAGAAGACGCTGGTAGTCTTAAGAAAATCCTGTTATTTTGACACTGTTAAATGGTGATGCTTCTTCCCTATCATATAAATGAATGCTAGTAGTCTGTAGTTGATGTTTTCTTCTGACCTCTGGTTTTTTTGGAAGAGCAAAGAATAGATTTACCCGAGGACCTGCATTTTTAGACTATCTAGGTCTGGTTACTCCTTTAAACCATCTGAGCAGATTGGGCAAAAGAATAAGATCTATACATTTAAATTTATCCTTTCCTGAATTAGGAAACTCTTATTTTTTGTTTCTACTAAGACAATATCAACAGTTTTCTTAAAGAGTTTTTTTTTTAACTATAAGCTTCCCTACCTCCAAAATTTTAGGATTAGAAGAGATTTTAAACTATTATGACAAGCTCTGTCTAACAGTTTCCCTCTTTAAAAACAGCACTTGTGGCATTTATTTTTCTGGCCTTTTTTCTAAGAGAAATTCTCAGGGGAGGGGAAATTCGAGAACCTGTGAGAATTGGAAAGAGGATGAATTTGGAAGGACCACAGAAAGAATTCCTTGATTTATAAACTCCTTTCTTACCGTTGTTGGAATCAGAACCTCTTCTCTCCTTTCTTTTGCACTTTTTGACCAGGGATGGGATATGAACCTGCTCTTGTATGACTGTTGTGTTTTTAATGATGTATTGTTTTTCATGATTGTGACTTGTTTGTCCTCCCTCCCCTTGAGTTGTGAGCCGCCCTGAGTCCCCCCAGGGAAAAAGGGCGGCATATAAATAAAGCATCTCAATCTCAATCTCAATCTCTCTCTCTTTTTTTTTGGGCTGCAGAATGTTCACAGCCTCAGAAATCTTTTAATTCACTCCCCAAACACAACCCACTTTTGTTGGGAGAATCAGGCCTTGGAGATCAGTCTGAGAGACAGGATAATTCTTCCCCTTAGAGTTTTTAACTGAAGATTAGACTCTGTCTGTTTTCTCCACAAGAAGGTACCACCCATAAAGGCAAAATATCACCTGGGGTGGGGGTCTCAGGAGAATTATATATTTGTGCTGAAAATAGCTTTGTATGGTATCTCAAATTTCAGTAAACCTAGGATATAGTTTTTCATGCTGGTACAACTCATATTTAGAAAATGCCAGTGGTGGAAGAGGCACCATTGCTACATACTGCAGTGATGTCTCATTAGTGGTGTTCAAACACCATGTTGCCATTGATATAATCACCAAGCTATAAGAATAGCTTCTTACAAAAGTAGTTATTGTCTTTTAACTAAATTAAGACTTTGTTAATGTCAGACACCAATAGAAATTATCAATGAGGTGGCCATAAACAATAAGCAATACAAATGTGTTGTTGACATATATTCGATTGAATCTATTTGCTTTTTGTAATACATATTTTTATTCTTGGATTAGATAGTGAGTTCAAATGAACTTTTTTCTGAAAATGAAAAAGGATAGGATATTTCTCATTTTATGCCTACTGCAGTTTTTAAACAAACGTTTACTTCAGATTATGATGTTCCTGAATTATTAAATAATTCTGAAGTCTTGCTAGGGAATTCTAATAAACACCACCAATAATACCTTTCCCCTCAAAATTCATGGTTACTTTAGAAAACTAAGTTAGTTAGTTATCTAAAAGTTATTAAACAGTGTTTACTGCATTTGTTCCACATGCTATATGCCATCTGATGTCACATAGGGCACAAAAGTTTCATTTTGGATTATTGTATTGGGGGACCCCAACCACTGAGGCTTGTAAATCCTGATTTATGAATGCAGTGCAATATGTGGGCTTAGCCCAGAATTGCTTTTCAAACCACATTCCTCTTTAAAACTACATTCCTTAAAACAAAATTTCCCTCCTACTCCTGATTAGCTGTGTATCTTCTTTGTAAAAAATAAAATACACCTACCAAGAGATGCATATGAGCCTGGAGGTAGGGCTGCAGCAGAACTGAAGGGGGAATCTGAACCAGAAGATGTTACTTTGGATTTGGCACTGGCTGCTGCATTCACATCAATGTCACTGCGAGAACGCTGGAGAGACCCTGATGTTGACGCAGATTTCACACTAATTCCAGAAGCTTTAAGGAAAGAGAAAAATCAGAGTTATAGATAAATCCATCCCAGAATATTCTTTCAATTCATTCTGAACAAAGAGGAAATATTCTGAACTTATGTTTAAGCACATACATATTTAAGCCTAATAAAAATGTAATTTCAAAATAATAATTTCTGGTGAATTTCTGGTGGTAAATGCAGTCAAAGGCATTTCCAAAATTCAGCATATTCCAACATCATCTTTCAACAATTTGGAAACTCACAACACCATCATAAATCCTCAGTTTACCATTGTAAAAATGTATTTTATTTGACAGACATTTGGAGCCCAAACAGACATTTTATACTTTGCATAGCACAGTTCTTTCTCCACAGCAGATTATGAATTTATGGCAGGCAAGCCACTGACCTACTTCATGTCCCATATTTTGCTTGATAGGGCTATGCTCAACAAGTATTGGGATTTTTTGATCTCTATTGGTTACTATTGGATACCCTCTGCTGTTTATGACTGTAGTAAACAGCAAGCATTAGGTAGGGATTAGTACAACCGTGCTGGACACAACTTTTCTAATCAAATGTTGCATTTCAATCTTAAAATAACATTTATCATACATATAAAGAATATTTTCAGAATTCATATATACCTTCCATATCTTAGAATTTGCTTTCAGTATTTTGTCACCATTGTCTATCATTACAGACAAGAACAAAGTTTGCTTAAGAATAAAGTAATTCATATTTCAATATTTCTTCCCAGTGGTTTAAATGTAAAGTATTCAGCCATCTTATATTTAGAACCATTCTATTTTAGATTCAATTGTTTAATTTACAAAACTAACGTGCAAAACTAATAAAGCAATATGAGTAAAAATTACTTTATTTTGCAAGAAGGAGAGAGAGAGCTTATTCTGCCTTACATCTGACCATTTCTTCTCTTGGCTTCTTACCTCGTGAAGTAGTGCTTCCAGTTGGGCTTCTTTTGGTAGACAATGGACGGCTAAAAAGGAATAGAATTAATGGATTTCATTCCAGAATGAATTTTATCTTAACTATTAACTCACTCTTTATCGACATTAATGAATTATTCTATATTATTTGTATTTATACTTTTCTACATTAATGCACTTTGAATTTTCCTACAAAAATGCTGTACAGAAACAAAAATAAATAAGGAAGCAAAATCAGTTTTAGACTCTATGTAAGTGTAAAATACTTACTTTTATATTCACAAAAATAACAATTCCCAAAATGCAAAGGCTCTAATTTATAGATGAGGAAGGGATAACTTGAAGGTATTAAGTTCATCCAATAGCAATACATTAGTGGAAGGGAAGGCTTACTTGAGACTCTCCTGGGAACTAGAAGAGGAGCGATCTGACTGAGGCAGAGACACTATGCTATCAGAATTCTTCAAGTGAGATTGCAGGGCTTTTTGGTATGAGGATTCCAGTGAATTAAACAAATGTTCCGCTTCTCGGCTAAAATGATTGTGGAAGCTCCAGTAACACCTGAAAATAAAAGTTTAAACTGATCATTGAACAGTATACTAGTGTGTCAGATTCTAACTGTTCAGAGAGACCTAATAAATTTTAAGAAAAAAATTGGAAAACATAGCAGAAAAAATCAATTGTATAATAGTGACAAGCCTATTTATTTTCATATATATTATTTGGGTTTCCAAACATTGTTTAAAGGAATTTAACATTTTGATAGGAAAGTGACTGCAGGAACTGAAAAATTTGGGATGAATGCATTTTCCATTACAAAATAAATAAATAAAGAAGTGAGCACATTACAAGCTTAAATAAGCTTCCACTTTGCCATTAGTTATTGATATTTTGAACGTAGAAATAGGTGGATTTCTCTTCTATGTTAAATTAAACCAAGTTCTAAATTCCAAAGTGGGAACAGAATATCAAAAACCCTATAGAATGCAAAAGCCTGAACTTTCAGGAGTACTAAGCTATGAAAATGTTGAAATCAAGATTTTTCTTTCCAAATTCCCACATTAATTTTCTGAACAAACCATATCAAATAGAGCCAAAACAATGACTAGTTTTAGTTGGCTTATGCAGAAAAAAGTTCCAATGAATCTGATGGCATTTACTTTGAAGTACCTCAGTAAAACACTTAGAATCACTAGTAAGCATAGCATGGTCCATTTCCTGAGTTCTTAATGGTCTGGTCCTGTTCTTTCCTTGGAATATGAGTTACTGGATGAATTTTCAGCTGAACAGCATTATAAAGCCTGTGATTATTGATGCACTAAACAATTAAAGCAAAAATATGCCCACTTACTTTCTGGCTTTTATCCGTGCTTCGGAGTCAGCATCATGAATTCCTTTCTTGATGGTTTCAGCCAATACTGATACATGTCTGAAATTAGAACACATCACTATTTACCTTGTCAGAAGAAGGAGAGAAGAAACAATCTTCCAACATTACATTTGGAATTCAAAGGACGTTTATTCACTTGGCCAGAATTTGAAAGAACTGGATACACAATATCCTTTTGGAAGTGTTTGTTTGTACCAGTGAGCTTTATTGCATTTCATTCTCGTTTATAAAAAATACCAAGAAACATTCCTTGGAGGTCATTGTTTTGTATGTGGAAACCACAGAAGCATGGAGAGACTAAAGCACATTAAGATGCTAAAGCCATACAAGAACGTAATCGAGTGGCTATAAACCAAATGTTTGATCTACACAGAAGGGTTTCTGCAACACCAACTTGCTAAGCTTATGTGGGTCAACAAAAATATTCCCATTTGAGGCCACTTTCTGTAACTATTTCCTTACACCCTGAATGTCTTTGCCTTTTGCTTACCCAAAGACAATCACTATTTTCCCCCCAGTGGCCAGAGTGATATCACTCAAGGGTTTTTAAGTAGAAAGGTAAGACAAACATTCTTTAAGTAAATACCTATACAAACAAAAAGGTTCATTTAAAATTTTACCCCCAAAAAGTTTATTTTAAAGAGACACTTTTAAAAATAAAAAGATTAAAAATTATTTCCACCTCCTCTGCTCATCTTTCCTGCACATGCATTTATTTAAGCATTTTACCCCATTCTTCAGCTTGAAAAGTCTTCAAGGGCAGCTTATTAAAATCCACAAAAACAAAAGAGAGCCTGCCCATAGGCTGTAAAAGCTCAAATGTGGCCCGAATGAAGGATGAAAGAAGGGCGAAACTAAGCAATCAAAATGAAATCACTAATTTGTGCAAGTCACATAGCAGTTCTTATATGGAGCAGTTAGGCTGGAAACAGTTCAGACACTAGTCAGGCAAAAGAAACTGGTCGCCCCCCCCCCCCCGGTCTCTATTTATTGCTCTGCTGGAGTCAGAGGGAATGTCTGCCTGTCTTTGCAAGGGCAGGAGAGAAAGGAGCCCCGGACCCCAACCGCCCCAATGCAGCCAGAGGAGCAGTATGTGACATATCATAATGTTTGTATCTTACCTTTCCAGGGAGTGTGTCTGCCATTCCTGCAAAACTAAATCTAAAAATTCAAAACACCGCCTGAGAGAGAAAAAAGGTAATTGTCCTTAATATTGTCCCTCAATGACAACTTGCTTAACATCAAAGAAGTAGCTAGACATGAAAAAGTGATTTCAAAAGTATCTTGAGGAATCCTGTACTCAGGCTACTAAATAAAAACTTTAAAGAAAATCATGTGCTTCTAGTCAGGCTTATTAGGTCTTATGACATTGACATGAACAGAGAGGGAGGGGGTGCCAGAAATGTTCAAACGATGGCTGTGACCATGCAATTGAGGAACCGCTCTTTTTGACTTATGCCACATGACATACATAAAAGGGCCGAGGCTTCAATTATGCTGTTAAGGCCATCTTTTTGTTTTATTTTATCTAATGTTCAGTTTCATGGCTGTAGTCAAGAACTGCAGTCTTCTGTGTGTCGGCATAGTACAGATAGCTTCAACCTGTGTCAGACATGGGGCCACAATGTTCATTGCTAAGCAGTGTGGTCATCAACCATCACTGCATCATTTAATGATGGCAATTCCTTGCGATCGTTGTCCTAACCAAATCCCATGGCATTAGGCGAAGCAACTTCCAAGGCCAGCAGGCAGGTGGGTGGGAGTCAGAGAAAGGGGGGTGGGGGGTAGGGCAAAGCCGCCCTATGTCTGCCAGCGCCGGGGCTTCGGCGGGGCTTTCGGAAAGCCACGCCAAAACCCCGGCGCAGCTTTCCGCCATAGAACGGGATGCATCCCGCTCTATGGCGGGCACGGTGGCATGGCTTTAAAGTCCTGGTGCCGTGCCCACCATAGAG